AAAGGTCGACCTCATCCTGCGTCGTGTAGGCAAGAGCGAGAATAGGTATGGGCAAGCGAAAGTGAACAAGACCGAGTGGGCGAGCGAGTGTGCAAGCGAGCGTAATCGTATGTTTGTGAGAATATTTGTCGTGACGCATTTGTTTATTATGCGATGGGATTAATAATTTTTTAAGATCCTATGTTTGATGTATTATGTCAAATATTTGAATTTATATTATTCCCACAGTATTAATATTATATATGTCATGTTGGGAAAAATCATTTCTCTTTCCCACAAATGACAAGTAAATCATTTCTTTTTTCCGAACTTGTGTTTCTAAACAGAAATTATTAAATCCCTATATATTTTATTATCAATAATATAATTGCCGTCATCAAATAACAAGTTTTTTATTTTAACAAAGGCAGAAAACGTGTGTTCTCTCGATAACAAAGAAGAAAATGGAAAAAATAACACAAAATAGACTTAAATGTAACAACGGTGGCAAACGAAACCGATTCTACGAGGAGTATACCTGACGATACCTCTGGTAATACTAGAGTTCCTCGAGATTTTTTAGGGAGCCATTTGCGACAACAACAAAAGGTAGCAGAACGTGCGAGTGCGTCGCGAGATAATTCTGAACAGGGTGGGATTCCCCCTCCACCTCGAACATCTTCAACGCTGAATTTTAATATTAATGGTGATGATGGCGATTTTGGCGGTATTGGTGGTATTGATGCGGGAGGAGGATCTGCTGTGGGAGGATTACCGCCAAATCAACGAGTACAAACCCCGGATGGAAATATCACAACCACGACGACAGTTACAATTAAATTGACTACTATCACAACAACAAATCCTACAAATGGGGCTACAACTACATCGGTCTTTACGGAAATTGTTCCAGTAACAACCGCCGCCAATAATTCTAATGATGATGCAACCGTTACTTTTCAACAAATGGAACCGAGTTTCACTCCAATGTCGCCGAAAGTATCAACAATTCCCAATTATCCTCCACCTGCAAACGGCATCAACAACAATAACATGATGACTAATGGAATTAATAATCATGCTGTTTCAAACATGCATTCTTCAGGAAGTAACAAAACAACGAATTATAATTTGCCAGACATGAGTAGAAGAAATAGTCTGGCGCGATCTTCTTCATCCGCTTTCAGTCCACGAGATAGGCGCTCGCCTAATAGTGCATCATCTAGTCGTAGAAGTACGAGGGGTGGGACTCCTTCGAGAAGAAATCCAGGTAAGATTAATCATATTTTAGCGGACCAATCGGCGGAAATTGGAGGAGAAATAACAGAAAGAGATCAAATTTCTATAATAACTAATTTACATTTAGATAATTCGGAGACAATGAATGATAATAACAATACGCCATTGCATTCACTTGAAAACCCTTTACTTATTAACAACGATGCCGTTGAAACATCAATTGCCAATAACATGCTCAATGACAACATCATCTCAGCATCTAATGCATCATATTCCTACAAAGTTCCCATTTACAATCAATCATTAATTCATAACGATGCATTAGGACAATTATCTTCGCCACGTGAGGACTCGATTCCTTCGTTTATTGACGCGTCAAAAGTTGCTGAAGGATCTCCTCCTTACCTAAACGCGTCTAGCCCAACTGGCGACGCTGCCTCTTTTATGGATTTTGCAAAATTGACAGAAACGCCATCAAACATATCCGAGACTTCTGACAATACAACCTACACTAGCTACATACCACCATCTCCCAGCTATATTCCTCCTCGCAACAATTTCGATAGTACCCCCGTCCAAAATTATAATGAGACTACCGTTGAAAACTCGTTAGTTTCCAATGATCCATATAATGAAAATCAAAGGTTATTAGATGATACAACCAGTCCAACAAGCTCCGGAGGCACCCTGAATTCAGTATCATCATTGAGTCCTGCATTTAATCAAGCTTCTGGTCAAAATCTAGTTTCATATGAAGAATCTCCCTCGCCGATCGCTGATGAAAAACGTAATCCTGGAACTTTTTTTAATAAAGATATCGTTCAAAATGAAGATTATTATGGTGGCGCTAGCTCTTCTACCTCATATAATAATAATAAAAATAAAAAACAAGAATGTTCTGGACCTTCATCGCCAATCCCAACATCCCCACGTTATCATTTACTTCCCAAATTAGGAGTATTGAGTACGGTATATGATGTTTGGAATGAATGGCATATAGGATTAAATGGAAATCCTTCTATAGATGAGTTACTAACTAAATACGGAGCAAATGGGCGAGCGATAATTCTAGTAGACTGTTTCGACGCCGAAAAATTATCAAGGAAGTTAAACGAAGAATAGAGGAATTTGGCAACGATGAGCGAACCGCTATTGAATCTCTTGAGACAATGCGAGCGGGGAAATCTGTTAACTATTTACACGATAAATTATCCGAAAGAAAAAAATAGTATCTTTCATTTCTTTTTTACAATTAATTAATATTGGTCGTGGCGATGGACTGTTTGTTCTTTGAATTTCTACTAGTATTATAACAACATTTTATTTCCTGTAAAAATTATTAATTTCTATATAAAATTAGAGTTTTAATTATGCGATATACTTTATAATAACGTGAATATGTTCTTCGGTAGAATATTGCCTACTTTTTTCGTCGCTAGAAGCTCTTCAGAATCCTGGAGGGTGAGGTTAGTTAATTTGTCGTCGCAGTCGTCACAAATATTGAATTCCTTGCCAATGCATCGAGCTTATTGAACTCGGGTGCCTTCTTGATAGCATTTTGAGTTTACATCGGTTTTTCCTACTAATCCTAACAGGAAAAGCATGAACCGCGGTGAGAATCTTTCTTTAATCAAGCAAAAAAGTTATCAAACGCTGATTTACCTCTACTCTTCAAACGGCTGTCTCCGAGTCATTTACTCTTTGATGCTACACTGTATATATACGCACATACCTTATTTTATGTAAAAACCTGTTCATTTAGGTAATCGCATCATGGATAAGCATGTGTTTTGTTTATCTTTTGTCTTATGTCTTATATCGCATCACGAATAGGAGAGGTCTGAAGTATTATGTTTTGTTTATCTTTGTCTTGTGTCTTGTAATCGCATCACGAATGATGAAGTATTATCAAAGAAAAAAGTAATGATTTAAAAAGTTTATTGCTGTTTTGT